TGCTCCCTGCGTGTGCCTCTCCACCTATGTTTCTTACTCTCTTACTTTCTACCCTTTGCCCTCAACCTTTTCCTAAGGGAGTGCTTGTTCTTCCGTCTGTCTGTATGTCTGTGTCTGTATTCTCATGTTCCGATTAACCCAGACAATTTTTTTCTTGTTTTGTGTCGATATCTGCGCTGGGATCCGGAGTCGAGGCTGATCCTCTTGCTGTGGTCCTGTGTCCCGGATCCTCTATCCTGAGTTCTGGATTAAGTCGTGGACTTCGGGTCGTGACTAAACCTGTCTCTGCGGTCTTGCCTGGGTCTCGTCATGCTGCTTCCCTAAAGGCTCCCACAGGATTGTAGTTGACATCTTCGTAGATTCATCTTCTTATTACAGACACATGCATTTCTTAACATTTGGACCACCTATGCTGTAAAATGTATTATCTCTTCGATTTACACACGGCATCTATTGCACGTCTGTCCGTCCTGGGAGAGGGATCCCTCCTCTGTTGCTCTCCCTGAGGTTTCTCCCATTTTTTCCCTTTAAACTGTGGGTTTTCTCCGGAAGTTTTTCCTTGTACGATGTGAGAGTCTAAGGATAGAGGGTGTCGTTTTTTCTCACACTGATATTCTGAACAAACTGTGCTGTTGTATTTGCTGTAAAGTGTCTCTACTGTAGGCCATTTGTATTATATGTACAGCACCTTGGCTCTACCAAAAATCGTTTATAAATGTGTTATATAAATAAAACTTGATTTGATTTGATTTGAAAAAGCATCAACATGCTGTATTTGCACTGCTAATACAAAACAGGCCAATCCTTCTATTCCCCAATATTTAAGTTAGTTGCACACTTTCTGCTTTCACCTGCTGCTACCTTATTTTGGTTTACACGTTATTTTGAAAACACAGTCCATCCCTTCATGTTGTAATGTTGTTTTATTTTATGTGTTTTTATTTTTTTTGTTAAGTTATTATGTTGGCAGAATGTTAGCAGTAGCATTGTTGTTTCTCTTGTTTTTCCACCGCAGCTCCCTGGGCATAGCTAATAGCCACCAGGGGGAAAAACAAAGCACTATCCTATTCATGTCTTGGTTGCACAATATTCGATTATTTCCTTTAGTGTGATTATATCAAGCCTTCATTTTCCCAGGAGGTAATACAAGGTGGGAGACAGGGTTGCATAGTGAAAGCAAGGAAGCCAATCAAAAGACTGATGGCGTCATTATTCCTTCAACATTTAATTCATAATGAATAATTAAAGAAAAAGACAATTAATAAAAGCATAATTCTCTCTTGTATTTTTCAGAAAATGTACTGTGACACTGCCCTTTTTCATCTCTAATGTTTCTCGTTAAAAAAAGAGAATTAATCTGAATTGTTTGTAGAGCATTCAGTTCTCCCCACGATGAATAATGGAAATCTATGAGAGGTTAAAGCGCCTTGTGGACTCGATAGACTGAGCACAGAGACCCAGCCACAGGCTTTCATCTTCATCATTATTAGACCAATTATAAAGCTGAATGGGAAATGGGGAAAGAGAAATTGGGGAAAGACAGCGAGAGTGGAAAACAAACTTGACACCTTAGGGAATTCATTTGCTGAATTTGTATAATCACAAAGTACCTTTCCAGAAGTTTGCAGACTTGTTGTTAATGTATGGCAACAGAGAGCAAATGGGTTCACCATCTATGGTAATGAATTTCTGACATTCATTGTGTAACACTTAATTTCCAATGGATCTCTTCATCAGGAGCGAGGTGCATTCACTGTTTGTTTAGTGTTTAGTCAAGTGTCTTCTTCCTGAGCTCCATTAGAAGGATGGTAACACAATGCATGAACAATATACCTATTTGCTTTGACCAACTTATTAGCTTTTGTTAAACTTTAAAATGCATTTTTTCATAGATAGAACACTGTTGATGCTTCCCCTTACATTACACAACCATTTGAAGGGATGTGGATTCTTGACAGGAATAAGGCTTTGGAACCAAAGAAAACGTTCAGTTAAATGTTTAGACCAATTTAAACTGTGATCCTTCGCAGACAGTCCTTAAGTTTCAAAGGTTCATCCTGTTTTGTTGGGAGCCCCTATGAACTTAAGCATTCCCCTTGAAACAGAACGACTCATGTCAAAGTTAAAATATAAAGCTCCTATCATGTTTTACAAACAACCTAAATCAAAGAGTGCTGGAGTGGTTTAGTGAAAGCACAACGAATCAAAGCTCTTTGCAATCCACTTCAACACAGCTGTGGGTTTTCTCACCAGCTGCCATGAAAGAAAGTATACACAGAGTAGGATACAGGAGGCCAACAACTGCAACATTAAATGTAATTCTCAGATATTCTTTACGACACACTAAAAAAATGATTTTGTTCTCCAATAATACATTCATTTGTAGATGGAGACAGCTGCTGTGGTATTTGAATGTATGCCTGTGATGGTGCTGGACATATTTTCTAATCCTCACATTTCTGTGGGCTGTCATTGTGTTTATGTTGGATTTTTGTTCACTGTTTACTTGATTTTACTCAAGAGTAAACTCCCTCTTCTCAAGTGACATCTGCCAATGCTGTTTCTCTCTTTCAATGCAGCCAGACCCTCTTGAATGGAGTGCTTCTTTTTGAAAGCCAAGAAAACCCATTAGATGGAGGGCATTTGGCGGTCTCAATTTCCTGTTGCTCCTTTAGTTATTTCTGGTAACAAAGAAAACAACTCTTATCTCACAGGGCATACAACAAACAAGAACACACTGACTATAAACGTTGAGACTTGAAGGAAGCTAAATTAGCTCAGGTTGTTGTATGAACATATTTTGTAATAGTTATGAGTTAAAACGTTGAACAGAGATGCATTCTGGGCATGCTGTTTATTCCCATACTTTTATTGAGACTTGTTATTTGTCAGCCAGTACAATTAATATAAAAATATGTTTATCAACTTTCAGGGTTAATTCTGAATAGGCCAAATTGTGCTCATCGATATATATATGGGATTGCATCTTTGTCCGATAAACTATACTAAACTAGTATACTCAATAAGACTATAAAACACTGGGCCTTGCAAGAAATTGCCTCTGCATTGATAGTTTATGTAATTCAAATATTTAAAAAGGATATTTGGCTCTGGCTACATTCACTGCCTGATTACATTTGAACTATCAAATTAGTTGAAGGGTTGTGTCAACTCAGAGATACTTCCCTGCTCATTTACATTGCTTCCAAAAATGTTCTAAATTGGCCTACAGAAATAGTGTGACATTTTAATAACCACCATGTTCAACAATGATGGATTATGCGGTTGTCTCTGTTAGCCTTTTATTATGCTAATAAGGCAAGTTTGACTGTCGCAAGTTTGCCTCATACATTATGACATGACAGTGGTTTGGAATAGATACAAGACAAGGATGAAAAATGATACCTGTCGATACTTAAAAAAAAACATATTTATCATTTGGAAAGAACAACTCCTTTCTGTGTGGAGCATGTCAAGATTGCTCAGTTGTCAACACATGATTTTAATCAAATGAATTTAGTCTCTTTTCCATGGTTCTTCCTCTTTCACTGATGCACTGTTTCTCCAGCTGCTGCATGTGATTGTCTCGAGGGCGTGTCTTATTGATTCGTGGTGACTTTAGGTCGTTCTGACAGCCCAGCCGTGTAACAGAGTCCCACTGGTGTGCTTTTGGGAGGGTTGGAGTATGTTTCTTGTTATCTATTCTTTTTTCTTCCCACTGGTGGTCTTTCTCTCTCTCCTCCTCTTTACTAGATGTTATAGCTGCTCTGTGTATAAGATGAGGGTCCATGCCACTCTGCTTTAAAGTTGTAACTTTGGGGTTACAATTAAGATCTGGTCTACATACGACATACAGACATACGGTATATGAGTTTGTCTTCGGTAAACCCTAACATGAACAATCGTGTAAGGATGTCAGCTGATCATTACCCTTCTTCCTGTTCTTGTTGTTGTAGGTGAAGCTGTTCGTGCGGAGCAGTGCAGGTCGGTGTCTGTGTGCGCCCCATATCAGTTGCAGGTGTCAGGTGGTATAGGAGTTGTTGTCATGGCAATCTGTTTTTAATATTCCAAGTACTGACTACCTACAATTCTCTAAGTGTTCCACACAAATACTCACATTTCCGGTGTTTCAGCCATGCTAGTAAGGCAAGACAAATGTATTTATATAGCACCTTTCAACACAAGGCGATTAAAAATGCTTTACACAAATGAAAGACATTAAAGGCCCTGTGAAGTGCATTTTTTTGCACCAAAATGAAATGGCAGTTTCATTCCTTACATATCATTGTGCCTGTTCATGGCTAAAATAATTCATTCATTATGAAAAATTATTTTAGCCATGAACAGGCACAATGATATGTAAGGAATGAAACTGCCATTTCATTTTGGTGCAAAAAAATGCACTTCACAGGGCCTTTAATGTCTTTCANTAACTCAACATGTACAACATTCCTGTTTTTGTTCTTCAATGAAACAAATAATTGTTCAATAAAATAATTAAAACTTGTTCTGTTTTTTTTTTTAAATCTGTTGAAATGTCATGTTTTTTTGTTCAATTTTGCATCGAATATTTCCAAAATTCCGGAAACTTTCCGCCCCTTTGCACCCCTACTCATTAATGAGATTTAGGGGATAATGGTATAGGCTGTTACCTTTGTAGATCCTCACACTTTTTACATTTGCACTCAAAAACAAGCTAGATTATAATTTAGTTATGATGTTTACTCCATCATGACAGCAGAAAAAAGATCTGACTTATCCAACAGGGTTAGAAAAACGTTTGTCAGCTCATGTTCTACTTCTCCGCAAGCAAAAGATGACATGAAAAAGATAGGAGGGCAATTGAGCCTGTATTTTGTAGCCTTGACATATTCCAAATCACATCACAAAGATAGCTGTACCACTAAGTATTAGAAAAGTGTGTATGCACGCTGGCAGCTTCACAGTGCCCACAAATATAAGCAAACACTCCACAGAGGAGTTTCAATCATACATACCCATTATATATGACCTTCAAGCAAAAACATGTCAAAACAATTTCACAGAAACCACTCCAACGTGTAGTGTAGGGAAGCAGATACAAATGTAATGCAGGCCCTACACATTGTATTGGTATTACAGCCCCCACACACACAAACCGAAGTGCAGTAATGCATATGAAGTAAGACACAGTGGAAGTGTGTTACAAAATGATAAAAACCCACCCGCTTCGTCCCCATGAGCATCCTCAAAGCCACAGAGCTGCTCCACCTCCAGGTGGCTGGGGGGGATCTTGCGGTGAACGAAGCTGTGAGGGTACTTCTCCTCGGGACTATCCAGCTCCTGCCCGTCCTCGTACACGTGCTTCAGCACTCGACCGCTGTAGGACGACGCCAGCTTGAACCTCACCTGTGGTTTTGGGTTGAAGGTGACATGTTTTACTTCCTTCCCCAAGCTGGTTTTTCATGAAGATATGCTAAGTGCTTAATTTACATATCTTGATAGCATAAAAAAGATGAGTAGAACAAAAATAACTGCTGTTTGAGGAGACAACAGGGGTGCAGACAGACATTTGCAGCATCCTAACATACAAAATAACACCCTGCTCCTTTCCCCTTTTCAGCTTGCAGTTTGACAACATAAGATGCCGTTTAAAGCTGAATCTTCAAGGACTGTAGCTTTAGTTTGTTGTGTGCTGTAATTGAAAGCAATACTCCACTGATATTAAAACACCTGCAAATCAAAACAGGAAGGTATGACCTCAATGTGTCTTTTTCTCAACATAACACCAAATACTTAAGTATTCCTTCTAATTAGAGCAAGTACTTCTGTAAATAACTCACTAACCTTTCTGGGCTTGGTGCCTTCATAGTGCTGATCCAGTTTTCTCTGGAGTTCCTCCATGGTGGCTGTTTGAGGAGGGGACGCTGTGAGACCGTCAGTCCATCCAAAAAGTGCCTCACCTGGGGCTAATTCACATCAGCTGGTGGTTCCTGATGCGGAGAATGAATGTACTGATAAATGGATGAAAGAATGGAGTGATATATAAGAGCGTAGAGCTGCGATAGAGGAGTGGGTGGGTGCCTGGATAAGAAAGCTTGTGTGTCCTGCTTCCTGAGTTTGAGTGTACCTGCTGTTTTAAGAGACCACCTTTTTAGCTCCCCGTGCTAAATAATTCAAAGCTAGATCGTGTGTGCAAAAGGGTGGTTGAGAAACCAGAAGCTCTGTCATCAAATAGTTATGATCACCAGAATAGAATTGAGTTAAAGCCAATGTGGAGCAATGTGCGTGTGTGTTTGTGTGTGTAAGAAAAAGAAAGAGAGAGTGAGGCTGTGTGTGTGGGAGATGTTAGATGGTTAGGAGTGTCTGTCATTGGATTGGAGCTGAGTATCAGTGTTGAAGAGTAAATATGATATTTAATGTCTGCCTATGTCAAACTGAAACCTTTGTCAAATATATCCATGCTAACAAAGCTTAGAGTTATATTACAAAGACATAACACCTTGCTTTTAGTACTTTGTGTTGTTTAAAACACATGTCTTACTGTAATACAGACAAAACACTAAGGTGAACCATCCAAAGTTATCTGTTGTGAATAATGTGTAACCCCTGTTAAGATGCTCTCAAAAACATTTAAATTCCCTATGACTGATATTTGTAACCTTTCCTTTTACAACCGAAGAACATAGTTTAAATTATAAGAAAAATCAATAACCCTTTGATTAGTTAAAGTGGATAGAAAAGCTTATCTAAAAAATATAATGTCATTTAAAGCCAATGGTCGGAAATCATTAGTATACAATTAAACTTGTTCCCTCTCTCAAGCCTAAATTGTAATTACTTGAATTGGTGAGTCTACAATTAGTATTTAAACTTAGACACCATGTGCTAAGTGTTTCCTGTCAAGTATTACATTATTTGCTAAATTAAATATACTTATTTTGTATTCAACTTTAAATGACCCACTACTTAGTGTAACTAATAGGAAGGGTTACTATGCATTACATACAGTGAAAACTACAGTTATATCAGGTAGGTAGATGAGCTCCACATTTTTTTTCAGTAGCTTCTAAGCGTTTTTGAAAATGCAAGTTTAATTTTAAATGTTTGACACAAAAACCTGAGCTGGGACAGAGCATTTCTGTCCCGTGTTGTTTTTGCAAACTCTAATTAGATTGTCATTAAATTAAGCCATAGAAAAGAGACATTCCACTGCCCTTTTTTTTACAGCAGACATGTTTGACTTATTTTAGTTAGAAAAGCACAATGGCTCTTTTCTATTCAACCTTTTCAGTAAGTCAAGATAGTGTGTCAGAGAACCAGCATGCACACTGCCAGCATCCTGAGACTGAAACAGCGGAATGTAATTCATCCATTATTAAATGTGTCTTCTTGAAGTTCTAATAAAGTGGGTAGCATCCAACTCTGGTTTAGTTATGGAATCCTTAGTGAGCTTTGTGAATGAACAACTGTGAATCACATGTTGTGTATTACAGTCACATGACCCACGTAGTGTTATATTTACTTTTGAAAATGACCCCTGACCACTAAACTTATGTTTAACACATTTTTGAATCAGGAGTAATTCACTGTTCAAATGTATAACCTTAAAATACCGTTTTTACTGAGGAGCTCCCTGGAATTGTGTGTGATGTATGAAGCATTTTTTTCATAATGGCCCTCAACCACATGCAATAAAGCGGATGAGATTGTTTATCAATATTCTAAATAATAAATGAGGACTAATCATAAGCTTTTAGATTTTTACCATTTAAGTAATAAGAGGTATAGCTCACATCTCTAATGTTGCATACTTTCAATTTTATATATACTTATATACAGCATTTAAATTATTTTGAAACTGCTGTTGGCATTGGCGACATTTTTCTGCATCTTCAAGGGGCCATTTTAAAAGAACAAACACTAAATCTAACAAATGGATGCCATTAACACTGTGCATGTCGAGATTAATCTTACAATTATCCTTACAGATGAGTGTTATTAAGCTTGAACGGATGGTTTGAAAAGAGAGGGGGGAGAGAGAGAATATGCAAAGACCCTCTTGTCTCTTCCCCGACCGAAAGTTAGCTTAATCAGATTGCAAAACAAGCAAGTGTGGTCACTCGAGCGAGAAATTGTTTTGGGTGCATCGCAGTAAAGGAATCATTTAATGTGCCAGGATTCTCGCTGCTTTCAGTTTAAATGATTGCCACGGTAAATCCGCCACCCCGAGTCTCCACATTAACAGTTCATGTACATTCTATCATCCCCATTAACCTCCCTAAATACAATATGCACAATGAGCTTCATTGCTCAGGTACAGTACACGTTCTCTGCTAGCTATAGATCCTAATCTAATCTATGCTCAGTGCTCTGATGGTAAAAATCCAAACTGTGAAATAATAGTTTGGGTTTTTCGGCGTGCTCGTAGATAATGCATTTGGACCTGAGTGCATAAGACAAGCCTCATTGAGCTGCATATTTAATCTAGAACATAAGTCTATGCCCCAGGTGGCCTGTTTGCGTTTACTGTTTTGAACGAGTAAATTAGAATCTAAACTCTTAAAGTTTTTCCATGTACCAGGTATGAGCACGATAACGCTAACTCTTGAGGGTTTGAATATATTTTTGGGTTTGCTCCCATTTGTTTATGCCCCTAACCTTTAGCAGCTACTTTACTACTTACTGGGCATCAGTAGATTTTAATGTTCGTACAAGTTACGTTTTTTAGTGTGCTGATTATTTGCCCCTAGGATCCATGTGCACCCTAGGGAAGTCTTAATGTGGGGGCAGCATGTCTTGCCACCAATGTCTGCAAGGTACTTTCTGTCGTGCTCCCCCCCACTCCTCTAAATTCTCTCTCTGAAGGTTTGCCCTCTATAAGTTTAAAAAGATAGGAAGGCGAAACTGGCACATTTTTACAGATCCCCATTCATTATTTTGTCTGCACTATTTCTGAAACCCTCCATGGGGAATAGTATTGATTGACTCTCAAATCAGCCTAGCCTAAGTCAGAAACTCTGCCTCAAATTTCCAAAGTGGTCATTATTTTGAAGGTTCATGGGAGCCAGATTTTTTGGGAAAGGTGGAAATATTCAAATTGTACGAAGTGTTTTTATTGGTGAACTGTCGCCTGAGGTCAGTAGACTTGTGTTGCCATTTTAAAAGAGAAATCACGACTATTCTACATCCTCTCCCTCTCCCTCGTCCCATTTCTCAAGCAAATCCAGATTGTCTCTGCCCTCAGGTGGCTGACAGGCAGCAGCAGGAAAAAAGAAATATGAGATGGAGAGGAGGGGGATGGGGACAGAGATGAAACAAGGGAAAAAGTTAAATTAGAGATGGATGGGAGTAGTGAACCAAGGAGAGACACGAGAGGATTGATGAAGCTACAGATGAATGTGAAAGATCATATTTGTCTTAAATCACCAAGAGACACATATGCAACATCCTCTCTAAAGGTTACAGCAATACAGAGAAACGATCGGCAGCTCAGACAATAAGGGCTGAAGTTCATCTAATTCACAAGCATCTTTCTCACTAAAGTTGTATTACTTCTGTTACAGCTTCGACTTCATTTAGGACTATCCATATGTTGCTTGTACAGACATGTTTAAAAGCTGTTCAAAGATGATGATATAAGATGCTATATGACAGATAAACTATGAGATAGCTGAACTAAACTCAATATGTCTTGCAGAATTGTTGAGTTTATATTTTTTTTTCTGTCAGGGGACATAACACTTAAAATAGTTTAGAACCCTTCTAGAACAAATGACACAACAAGTCGATAACAACACAAATATATCATGTTTGTTTTTCATGTATTGTGTCTTGACATTTGTCTATGTTGATGTTACACATGGAAATGCTTTGATGCAAGTTCAATTTCAGACTTGATCTGACCAATAGAGTATTATCGCATCGTATGTCTAGCTTTTTTAAACTACCCAAAAACTCAAATATGCTTTGTCCATGCTTTTTTATTAACCATAAAAGGAAGGTTATATAACTTGCGAGGACTGGATCAGCTGAAATTGCACCTCATCATAAAATGCATTTATAAGCTTTTTGTATTGAAAAAAGGTACAATCTGAACCAGCATAAGTTTTCAAGTTGACAAAGACAACATGATGACAAAGCTGAAATTACACTGTCATTTCAAAATATCTGTTATATAATATCTGCAATGTTTTAAATAGAACTACTAAAGCATTTAAACGTCATTATCTTAATTAGAGTGTCTATCAAATGATAGATGTTGCAAGTCATGGTCAAGTTAATATTTAATATTTCACTGGGACTGATTTGCTATCTCGTTTTAATTAGCTCTATGGTGACGGTGGCTGTGATGGTGTTCGGCTCTCATGAAACCCTAGCAGCAACTCGCGGCATCACAGTCCTGTGTTCCCCCCCCCCTCCCCACACTAATTTAATCCCAAGATAAAAAAAAAGTCCCTCTCAAAAAATGATGCATGAACATCTCCACCATCTGCAATACCAGTTGAAATGAGAACAGCAGCAGCAACAGGAATCGGCTCAAGGAACTGGCAGGAATCAGCACATACTCCTAAATGCTTTGTGAAGGTGTGATCTTTTTTAAAAGGCCTGTTTGGAAATGTGTTGAGTTAAAGTGCTTTTGTTTCCTTCAAATGCTAACTATTGGTCATGCAACTAGAATTTTCCAAAGGGGGGTTCGTTTAGCATGAAACACTTAAAATAACTAAAGGATAAGTAAACAAATTAAGTAGAAAGAAAGTGAGGTCATAGAAAATTATTTCTGCTAAAAAGTTAGCAAT